CCCACCTCCACTGCCCTCTGTGCCTCCTTTGCCCTCTCAAAGCTGTGCTGCTACCACAGGTGTGGACCTCACCCCAGTCTCAGCTGCAGGGGACCTGCCTCACACACGCTCTGAAGCAGGAGAGGGGCCCAGGCCAACCTCGAGACTCCCAGGGCTCAAACTAGTAATTAGTGAGGGCCTGGAAGAGTGCACAGGGGTATGGTGGAGTTCTGAACAGAAATGAAGGCGTCCAAGCTCCTGGGAGCCACAGGTCCCGACAGGCCGCAGGAGCAGGGAGATACCCAGGGGAACTCAGACAGAAGAAGTCAGGCAGTGCTGGGACCCTCCTGCCAAGGTCTGGCCTGGAGTCCTGCACTCAGCCAACTGCAGCCCCGAGCCCACAAGGTGCCTGGCCCCCAGAGCTTCCCTAAGTCCTGTGCCCTCCACCCTGGTGCAGAGGTCAGCTCAGGACTCCAGTGCAGATGCAGCCCCTGACCCACCTGCCGGCACACCTGACCCCACTCTGTGCCCGCCAAGCTCCTGAGTGCCAGACCCAGGTCGTGCCAGGCTCCTCATATCACCATCAAGCAGAGTGCCCTGATTTCAACCCATGTGGCAGATGAGGAACCCGAGGCTGAGGACACAGCAGGGCAACGCAGGGCAGGCCTGTCTGTGCCACCTTTGCCCATGCAGCCCCAATGCCAGCAGCCTCCCGTGGCGCCAGGACATGAGCACTCTCTGATTCATCCAGCAGTAACCAGGTGTGCAAGAAAGCGTAGACTAGGTTCCCTTGCCACCTCTCGCTCGAGTGCCACCTCCCGCCCAGCCTGTCATCCCACAGGAGCCAGCACCACTGGCACAGGACCATCCCCAGCCAGGGGGAGCCCCTGAAGTCAGGGGGCCCAGTCTGATCCTCACAGGCCCACACAGCAGTGTCTGCTGTGCCCAGGGTCCCCACCCTGCTGCTCCCTCCCGCCCCAGGGCCCAAGCTTTGCCACTTGGCACACACACAAAGTGTTCGGCAGGAGCTGGCTGGGCAGGCAGGGAGTGGAGGCGGGGCCTCGGCATCTGGAAAACATCATCAGCCCTCCTGGGCGGGTGGGCAGGCAAACTACAGATCAGGCAGCCTGTTTGTCAGGGAGATTCCTGTCCTGGCTATTCCTGGAGCCCACGGCCTTTGTGCCCACTCTGCGCTCTCTGTGCTAGCTCCTGCAGGGCACAGGGGTGCCTGTCCCTCTCCTCCCTGGGGAGGGCCACACTCAGTTTATTCTAGAGGCTCAGAGCAGCTGAGACTGCTCTGCAGGGCTCCATGGGAGTGGTGCAGACGGCGGCTCTGGAGAATTAGCCGAACTCTGTCTTCTGTTTCTCCACGCATTGGGGGCTTCCCCCAAACTGGGTCCGACAGGCCATACTGGGGAGTGTGATGCTGCCAGGTGCACAGGAAGGGCAGGGTGGGAGGTGCACAGGGGCACCCTGCAGGTACAGACTGCTCATGGGCAGCAGGTCTGTTTTCCCCAGAGAGGCCCCAAACAGGTCTGGGTCCTGCAGCAAGGCCAAGGTGAGGCTGCCAGACCCTGCCGGTTTCCTTCTGAGTCCCCTATTTCTGGGATTCTGGGAAGGCTTCTGGGGCAGCAGCAAGCACCAAACAAGGGTGTGTCCATCCGGCCCCCTGCACAGCCCTTCTGGTGGAGCCTGCCTACATGAAGCTAGGCGGAGCCTCTGGTAGTGTTTCTGGGCATCCGGAGTGGGGGGCTGGTGGACAGAAATGCCCCAAAGGTCACGTAGGCCTGGGCTCATGAACGGCAGGAAATGAGGCCCAAAGATGGTCCAGGGCCACAGAGCAGCCCCACACAGGACGGCCTGGGGCCTCTGGGGAAAGCCAGGCTGAGGCTGCGGCCCTGAACCTGTGTGGCCGGGGCCCTGCCGCCCTTTCCTGTCTGAGAACTTTTGTCCTGGCTCTCTGCTGACAAGCTCTGCAGTATCCCACGCTGCACATAGCTGACTCTGCGGTCACCTGGACAGGGAGCAGGGCCATGCTGACCCGTCCTGTGCGCCAGCACTGCAGGAAGGTGGAACACAGCCAGGGCTGCAGGACAGGGAGGTGGTGGGGTTGCTAGGCTCCTGTCTGAGGGGGAGAGCAGAGACAGATAGGCAGCAGCTCAGAGGGTGAGAAGGTGGGGGTGGCCAGGTGGTCTAGGAGGTGGCCTTGAGTGGCAGTACCTCAGGCTGGGCATCTCAGAGCCTGCCTTGAACCAAGATGTGGAGGGCCAGGGCGATGGAGGGGGTGCTGGGCAGGCAGGGAGACCCACCCAAGCAAAGCCTGGGAAGGCGCAGGAGACCAGCCTCCACCTTCCACACGGGCCTCTGCAGCACCTCCACTAGCCACCGTCCCAGAGGCGCGAGCTACAGAAACACGTGCTGTCTGGCGCTGGCCGCTAGCCATGCTAGAGGCCCCTAGTCCATGGCGGGGCCTTCCAGAGGGGTGGTGAGGAGACAGGAAAGGGGAGGTGAGCTGAGCCCCTGGGGTCCCCCTCTTCGGGGTTGCACGTGGGAAGGGAGCATTGGCCCTGCACCTAGGCTGGGGGGAGCCACCAGCTCTCACTCCGGGACCCTACAACAGGGTAATGGTAAGCATGGACTTTTCCCAGCTCCAGTGGAGCTGCAGGGAGTGGGCATCTCTCCAGGGCACTCTGCCAACCCCGAAAACCACAGTTAGGGGTGTGTATGGGGTCTGAAAGCTAAGCCACTGCAGTGGTGAGCTGCAGTGTTCAGCAGATTTCCTAGAAGCTGCTTCACAGTGCCCACAGCATGGCTCCTTGGTCACCTCCCATGGACCCCCAGATGCCAAGAGGCCAGTGTTGGTTAATGGACCCTTCTTTATTTCAGTTTTATCAACTAAAAGTGATTTTACACAAAATAATGTGTCAGAGATAATTGACCCTGGGCACAGATCCCAAATTCCAGCCTGCAAGCAAAGCCTAAACGTGCCCATTAATGATTAAACCACTGGAGTTGGTCCCCAGGGACAGTACACACAGTGGGGAGTCCCTCCCACGTTCCTGTCAGGGGCCCAGCCCTGCCCAATGAGAACAGATTTCAGCCCAGGGGGGATGGGGGACACGTTTCCATAGAGGGACAACGAAATGTGGCTTGGTCCCTTCATCTGCAATGGCCAGCAGGCTTCCCTCTGTGTGCCATTTAGCAGGTCACCGACCCCTGCCCCACTATGCCTGCCACGGTCAGGGTGAAGTGTGGGGACAGGCACCACCACTAGGAAAGGTCTCAGGTTGCAGAAGGGCACGAATCCACACAGTGGGCGGGCATTGGCGCTGATATCGGAGACCCTCATTTGACAACAAGATGCACATGTGGGGCGACTTGGATCATGGGAGACTGTTTTCCAAGGTGGCCCCAGGTCACCCTGGGAGCAGCCAGACCCAACCCTGACTCTACTACCTCGAGTGCATAGTCTCCTAGCCTCGGTTTCCACATCTGCAGCAGGAGGATGGCACGTGGGACCTCAGGTTCACCCCATAGCAGAATGAGGTGATGCAGGCCCCATGCAGGGCCTGGGGGCTGGTCCCTGGTGCTCAGCGCACAGCAGCTCAGTCTCGATGCACGACAGTGATCAGGAGGCCCCCTCTGCGAGGCCCTTTCCTCCCACAGCCTCCTGCCCCGCACCTTGCTCAGTGTGTAGATATGGGCAGAGCTCTGATCAATGGGCAGGGTGGCCAGGTGGCCCAGGAGCAGGACAGCAGGACAGCAGGAGGACACAGGAACCAGGCTTCCCAGAGGGGTCAGGAGCTGGGGATTCTGCACACCTCACATAGGAGCATCATGGGCCAGCAAAGGTAGCTTTCGATTTTAGTGCTGGGGATTCAACCCCCAGGGTCCCACACATGCTAAATACACAGTATACCACTAGGCCCCACCCTCAGCCCCAAGGCGGCCATTTGCAGGGTACTGCCAGGGGTTTCTGTCTTTTCTTCAGGTTGCACAGCCACCATGTTCTCTGCCCAGGAAGATGCTGCCAGCAGCCAGCCCACTCCCCTCTCTCCACAGCCCTCAGCAGTCACGAAGTCACTTTCTGTCTCTAGAGATTTGTCTATTCTAGACAATTAACAGAAACAGTAATAAACCTAGGTGTAGTGGCACACACCTGTAATCCCAACACTCAGGAGGCTGAGGCAGGACAATTGGAAATGTGAGGCCAGACTGGACAAGGTAACTGGTTCAAGGCTGACCTGGACTCCATAGTAAGCCCCTCTTTCCATAAAGCAACAATAACAGCACACATGCACACGCGCGCGCACACACACATACACACACATACTCTTACACACATACTCACAGATACACCCCACACACACACATACACCCTGCACGTACCAAAGAAAGAAAGACAGTGCTAGGGTTTAAACTCAGTGTTTTTAACACGCCATGCAAGCGGCCTACCACTAAACTACATCCCCAGCTCTTCAAAATTTTTACTGTGAGGCAGGATCTTGCTAAACTTCCCAGTTGAGTTCAAACTTGAAATCTTCCTGCCTTTACCATGCCTGTAGCTAAAATTACAGGCATTTTGGCAAGGGGCAGTGAGCAGGCCATCACATGTAGGCTTCCTCTATGAAAGGGCCATGGCTGCTGTGTTCACAAATCCATCTGCCCAAGGGTCCTGTCACAGGCTGTGCCTGGATGAGTGTGACTCTGGGGGCAGAAGAGAACTAGATCCCCTCAAGGGAGAAGAGAGCCGAGTTCTGAGGAGGGCCTGGCCTGTGCGTGACCCAGGGCGGTCAGCAGCCAGGAAGGAGCTGGGGTGCAGGCAGGAGCCAGGAGGCTGGGCTCTGGCGGTCTGGTGAGGTTCCCCCCGGGGTGGGAAATATATCCTCATTGTTGTGCTGTCACTGTCCCCTGGTCCAGGCCACAGGCTCAGAGGAGAAGGGGCAGCTGGGTAGTTGTGGGGCAGGGAGGTAGCAGGCACCAGGGAAAGTCTGCAGGACCGGTTGGACCGGCAGGAGGTGGAGTCAGCAAGGCGAAGGCAGGAGGAAGCCCACGGGCACCAGCCCTGGACTGTATGGTGCGAACCACAGGGCAACTGGCATCAAGGTCTGGAGCTGCGCCCTTCAGGTCTCCCCTGCCGTCCTCACTCCTCCTGACAGGCTGGCAGGGGTTCCCCTGTGGCCTCGGGTGATCCTTCTGTGCCCTCTCACCCTAGCTCCCATCTGTCACAGACGCAGGTTGCATTGTGAGGCTGCCCTGCATCGTGACCCAGTTCTCCCTACTGAGGACACTCACAGACCTGGGGAGGCCTGCCCAGTGACCTTGCTGAGCACGATACCAGCTGGGACCACCAGGAGGTAGGACAGTGTCCCTGGGTGCCCACTAGCCTGCCCTGAGGGCTCTCTCTACTCAGGAAAAGGCTCTGCCCCCGGGGTGCTCAGAGCCCTCCTGTGGGACCAGGCAGCACTGGACAGGGAGCCCAGGACAACTGCACAGGAAGATGCGAACCCTGGCCACAGGTGTCACTGCTCAGGGGTGCCTGCTCCATCTGCAGGCTGCCGCTTGAGCATCCAGTGCCCAGGGAGGATGGCACCAGGGCCTAGCAGGGGTCTGGACCAAGGTGCAGGCCCAAGAGAGGCTGGCATCAGGCACAGCTTGGAGGGCTCTGCAGGGCCCTGTGCTCAGGAACCCACCTGCTCGGCCCCTGTCACCCTGGACAGGTGGTAGGGAGCAGGGACCTGGCCAGGCCTGAGACCCAGCGGGGTCAGAGAGCCCAGTTCATGTCCCATGTCCTCACCCTGACAGAGCCTGAGGACCCCGCATCTGGACAAGAGGCAGCACTGTCACTCTGTGTGTACCATCCCTGCCCTCTTAAGAGAAGGGGCAATGAGCCTGGAGCAGGTACAAAGTCAGACTTATCTTGCAGCAGTGAAGAGCCGCAGTGCTTGAGTTTGGCCTGGTGGGGTCGGAGTTGGGCCGAGACCCTGCGGACCCTGGGGAAAAGTGTGGCGGGGACAGGGAGCTCATGAGAGGCCCTGGTGTGCACAAAGAGGAGCACGGGGCTCTGGATTGGGCAGCGGCCACAGAGCACAGTGAGAGGGCTGGAGTCCAGGAAAGCCCAGCCTCTGCCTGGAGCCCTAGCATGCTCATCAGTGACCCCTGAGCCCCCGGGGCACAGCTGCAGGACAGAGTGTGGGGCACGGTGTCCTGCAAACTTTCAGGTGCCTGAAAACTGACCTGGAATCACGGTCCCTATGCCTTCCAGAACCCAGCCCCACTGCAATCAGGCCAAGACCTGGCACAAGCTCCCTGGCACGGTCTGCTGCCTCCCAGGGCGGCCCCCGTTGCTGTGTTCTTGGCCTGCCCCTGGCCCCCAGGGCCTAGCTCCCCCGCTGCAGAAGCAGGAAAGTCTCTGAGGTCCTTCCTCCCTTCTCCTTGCCCCGTGCACTTCTGAGTGTCAGGTCCTTGCAGGGTGATGGGTCACAGAGAGGGGAGGTGTTAGAGGAGGTGGCAATGCAGGGAAGGCATAGTGGGACGGGGGACTGAGAGGAGGGAGGCGGAGGAGGCAGCGGGGACATCAGAGTCAGTGCTCAAAGGCTGGATGGGGCAGAGCTGGTTCGCTGTCACCTCCTTCCCCAGGCACCAGCACCCGACCGGGCTCTTGCCCATAGGCACCGCTGGTGGATGATGAAGCTGTCATTAGTGGCAGCTGGCAGTGTGCGGAAGGATGTGCTACAACCTGCAGCCTGGCATGAGCTGAGTCTGCTTATCTTCTAAGCACAGCAAGAGGAGCCTGAGGGTCACTTCGGGGAGCAGCCTGCAGGTTGGGCGGGGCAGGACGCCCCTCCCTGCAGTTTTGGGCAGCCAGATATCCCAGCCCAGAGCTTGGAGGTTCCAGAGAGAGAAGCCCCCAAGAGGCCCCCGGAGTCCCCTTGAATGGGGCTACTTAGACCAGACCAACTATGCTGGTTCCTCAAGCTTGCCGGGATGGAGCAGGAGTGTGGGCCCGCCTGGACCCTGAGCCCAGGAGGCAATGCCCACCTGAGCCCTGGAGGCCAAGTTGAGTATTTTGCTTTTTGTTTTGTTTCTTGTGATACTGGAGGACTGAACCTAAAGTCTTCACACTGAGCTACATCCGTGCCAGCTCTTTTTAATTTATTTTTTATTTTGAGACAGGGTTTTGCTAAGTCACTAAATTGTCCAGGCTGGCCTTGGATTTGAGATCCTCCTGCCTCAGTCTCCCAGAGTGCTGTGATTACAGGCCTGTGCTGTCAAGTTGATTTTAGCTAGAAAAGACAGATGCCAAAGGTCTGGCAGAGCAGGAGCAAAGGCTGGGCATGGAGGTGGGAAGCAGTCCAGGAAGGAGAAGAGGGTGGGGCCAATGGGGTCAGGAGCCAGGCCCAGAGGAGCAGGACACAGGCTCCTCCCACTGTGGGCCCTTGGGACCTGGAGACAACTCCTTGGGGGGCTCTGCACAGACTCTAAGGAGTCACCAGCAAGACTGGCCCTCCTGGGGCTGCTATGCAACCAGGCAGCGACAACCCTGCCTTCAGGAGGGGCAGGGCAGGAGGGCAAGGTTCCAGGGGCTGCACCCAGGAGTATTTTTCCAGGGCTGGCAGGAGGAGTCCCAACCCGTAGCCAGCTGCCCTGAGCCAGGGAGCTGCAGGCCCACACACTGCTGCTGCAGTCAAGGGCACCTGGAGCACAATGACTGCCGGGGACTGCCCTCTGCCAGCTGCCTGAAGCTCTGACAAGGACAGGTGCGTCTGGGACAGGCCACACTCACCCCCTCATGTCTTCCTGCAGCGGGGCCCTCCAGCTGCCTGCCGCAGCCCTGCTCCTCTCCAGCTCCCTCCAGCCCTGCATGCTTTACCTCAGAGCTGGGAGTGGCCTGTGACCCAGAGGAGATCCTGGACCCCAGCCCACCCCCTACCCCGTCCCCACAGGGGCAGCAGAGGCTGGGGGAGGTGAGAGGGGCAGGGAGGGTGCAGCACGTGGAGCCTGGGGACCTTGTCAGGTGAGGCTGAGGATCCACAGACATTTGGGAAACGAGGGAAAGTCCCTTCCTGCCTTTCAGAGCCTCTGGAGAGCAGGTTGAGAACGCACAGTAAACCAGGGGGAGCGTTTGCAGGCCCACAGCAGTGACCAATAAGGAATGGTCTCCGTCCTTCCTCTGCAGCAGTTACCTGATGCATCGCACAGAAGGGCACAGGGTAACTTCTGTGGTACCCACTCTATGGAAAACTCAGCCCTTGGAGCCTGGGGACACACCCAAACCACAGAAGGAGGATGCTGCCTGGGGCCCTGCAGGTAGCACTGGAGTTGGTGGGAGCTGGGACAGTGTTTTGAAGTCAAAGCTGAAAGAATCTCCTGATGCAGACTGGACACACGGCGTGTAGCATTGAGGACCCGAGGGCGACGTCGGGCTGTTGGCTTGAGCAGATGGGAAGCTGAAGGTCCCTCGTTGATCTGAGGGGACTGAGGGAGGAGCAGGGCTCGGAAGCATGGGTTTCAGATCACTATCGTTACAAAGTCCTGCGGATATTACTCAGATTCACTTCCTGTTCTGGAGACCAACAGTCTGCAATGTCTCGCTGGTCTAAGGCCGAGGAGCCAGCAGGGCTGGGTCCTCCTGGAGAACCTGGGGTGGGTTTTTCTTTGAGACAGAGTCTCACTGTGCAGTTCAAGGTGGCCTTGAACTTATGATGTATCCCAGGTTAGCCTCAAACTCCTAGTGTTATTCCTGCCTCAGCCTCCTGAGTCTTGGGATCACAGATGTGCACCACCATCCTGGCAGGCATGTGTGCCCTTGTCTTTTCTTGTTTATCTGCATCCTTGGCTCCTGACCCTGTCCTGTACCACTCCAGCCACTCCCCTCTGTTGTCACATCTCCTACTTCCTCCTTTGACCTTCCACTTGGATGGCCTGGAGGCCCCATGGACGGCCCAGCATCACCCCTGCCTCTCAGATCCTATCTGCAGGCCATTACTCAGCCCGGTCCAGGGTGGGAAAGCAGGAGATAGTTGTGGGTATATTAAGTGTGGTGCCTATTAGATGTGAAGGAGGGACTGCTGGGAAGGCGTGTGACGCAGGACTCTGGGGTTAGGGCAGGCCCAGATGGAGATGTGAGTGTGGGAGCCATGAGGACATAAACGGGATTTAAGGCCATGAAAATGGGTCTGAGCCTCTAGAGATATCTTCTCATCAAGTCGAAGGAGTCTCCTAAGAAGCAGAACCAAAAGGCAAAGAGATCAAGACAAGATAAGAAAAGAAAATTAAAAGTTTCAATGAAGACATCCAATATCTGATTTCAGGAATTTCACAAAGGAAAAAAGAAAACAGAATAAATAAAATTATTAAAGATTTTAAGAAATACCCATAGAACTGAAGAATATAAGAATTCTGATGAAGTCCCACCAAGCTAACACAGTTAGTGCTAGGGTCATTGTTTCTACCATTAGACGACATCTTGAAACCTTAAATCAATAAGGATAAAGGTAAGACCCCAAGCTCTTCCAAAGGGAAGAACACAGGTCCTATTCAAGAATGAGGGTGTGGAAGCCTTCTGCAGTAAGCCTGGAAGCAAGACGCCCCCAGAACCTATGCCTTGAGATTCTAGTGGACTGCTTCCAACCTGGAGTTCTATACCCAGCCAAACTATCAACCAGTTGTGAGCGTGGAATAAAGATGCTTGCAGAGGGCCAGGGATTTAACTCAGTGGCATGGTGCCTGCCTGGCAAGTGCTAGGCCTGAGTTTGATTCCCAGTACCAAAAGGAGAAAGATGCTTTTAGAGGCTGAGGGAGGAAGATTACTGGCCCAAAGCTACTCTGGGAAATTTATTGACACTCTACCTCAAAAACAAACAAACAGGGCTGGGGATTTAGCTCAGCGTCATAAGTGCCTGCCTGGCAATCACAAGGTCATGAGTTCCATCCCAGTACCAAAAATACTCAAAGCAAAACAAACAAACAAAAACACGCAGACAAACAAATACAGCTATTGATGTAGCTCAGTTCTGCCTAGGTTAAAGCTCTTTGCTGCCCCATCCCCAGTCCTGTCAGGTGCATCTTTCCCTCTTTTATTCCTCTGTGGTGCTGGGGAATGTACCAGGGCCCAGCGTGCACCAGCAAGAGCTACACCACTGTGCTGCACACTCAGCCCTAACGATGCCTTCAGAGTGCAAAAGCTTGGAAAATCTGCTGGACCTGGTGGAGCAATCTCCTCACTTGGCAGGCTGAGAGAGAGTAGGGTCATAGTTGTTTACCTATTTATTTATTTATTTTTGGTATCAGGAATCAGACTCACAACCATGCGCAAGTTTGAGGCCAGCCTGGTGTATACAGCAAGTTCAAGGACAGCCTGCACTGTGCGGTGAGCCCTGTCTCCAAGGGAAAAAACCAGAAGAAAGTCTGTCTTCCACACACTCTGCCTCAGGAAGCTCCTGCAGGATGTGAGTGCCAGGAAGATGCAAACGCAGGGAAATGGAAATCCAGGGACCAGAGGGAAACGGTTCTCAGGGAAGTCTTTGGACAATAGCCATGCAGCAGTCAGACTGGGGCAAATACTAACTCCTGGGAGAACAAATAATCGCAGAGAAAAGAAAATGTAGAGCCAGGAGTTTAGCTCAGTGGCACAAACACCTGCCTGGCAAGTGTGAGGTTGTGAGTTTGATCCCTGGTACCAAAAGAAGAGAAGGAGGAGGAGGAGGAGGAGGAGGAGGAGGAGGAGGAGGAGGAGGAGGAGGAGGAGGAGGAGGAGGAGGGGGAAGAGGAAGAAAACGTAGCCACAATAAGTTAAATAAATGTGCTCCTTAACAATCCTGCCTGCTGTAAATCCATCACTACAAAGGCTTGAGGAAAAGGAAGGTAAGGAACAGGCTACCTGAAACTTAAGGAACATTTTATAAAGTCAGGCTATTGAAGTATAATTTACAAACAGTAAGATTTACCCTTTGGAAGCATTAAATTTGATTTACTTATTTATTGTGGTTTTTTGAGATGTTCTCACTACGTAGTTTGTGATAGAGTTTTCTGCCGCAATAGAGAAGTAAAAGTACAAAACAAACAGGTTTATTGTGGAAGGAGCACACAGCCCGTGGTGGCTGGGCCATCTCCTTCGACCCGAAGGGGGGGTATGGGAGCTATGTAATCTCTGAGCAGGGGTGGTGTCTAGGGCGGGCATTGACGACGCAGGAGGAGCGGATCGGAATTTTCTTTGCGAGCACTGGGAAAGGAAAAAGGAAGTTGTAAAAGGGGAAGGAGGAAGTGACCTCAGGGAAAACATCCCCAATTTGGCCTTGCATTGCCATAACATCCTGAAACTTATTCTAGGGCAAAACTCTTTCAGTTTGGGCTGGCCTTGAGCTCACTCTGTAGCTCAGGCTGGTCTCAGACTCACAACAGTCCTCCTGCCTCAGCCTCTATTAATTTGTTCTTTTAGACAGGTCTTGCTATGTGGTTCAAGCTGGGCACAAACTTGTAATCATCCTGTCTCAGCCTTTCAGAACAGCAGGATTACAAGTGTGTACCATTGAACCTGGCTTACATTTTGTTTGTTTGTTTGTTTGTTGGAGACAGGGTCTTGCTGTAGTTCAGGATGGCCTTGAGCTCACTATGTAGTCCAGGCCTGCCTTGAAGTCATGGCGATCCTCCCGCCTCAGCCTCTTAAGTGCTGGGATTACATGCACACACTACCATGCCTGGCCATCACATAATGTTTTTTGATATGCATTTTGATTGTATGTCAATTTGTTGTTGCTGCATCACATTCCTTTATACAGAGGCCCCACAGCCTCTGGGGGACCAGTTGAATGGACAGCGGTTATTTCCAGTTTGGGCTTTTCACGGCTAAAGCCACGGTGAACATTCACATACAAGCCCACATGTCAGCAGGTCTGCACTCCTCGGGGGTAATGGCCAGATGCGGGACTGTACACACACACACACACATGCACACACACATGTGGGACTGTACACACACATGCACACACAAACAGAATCATAACAAACACCAAGCCATTTTCCAGAGGTGCTGGGCTATTCCTTGCTCTCATCAGGGCCTCAGATTGGGGCTGCAGGTGTGTGCTGTCTCTGCATCCCCCAACATTGCAGGCCCACTCCTCCCCATGCCCCTCTTATGGCTGAGGTGATGGTGAGCCATGATCTCACCCTAAACACCACCTGTATCTCTGTGAGAGAGTAGTTCAAAGTTTTGTTCATTTTTTATTGGGTTGTTTGTCTTATTATTGAGTTATGTGTTCTTTATATGTTGTAGATACCAGTTCTTTATTAGGCTTGTGTTTTGCATCTTGGAGCTTTGTGACCAAAGCCCTAATAAAAGCAACAATGATACCAATTAAATAGGAACACAGTCATTTCTCCTAGGGCACCAGCCCACAGACTGCAACTGGTAGCTGCTTGCTGGGCCAAACCCTGGGGCTAGTGCTGCTTCCTGAAGGACGAGACTCTTGCAGACGTTTACCTCTAAGCAAGACCAGTTTCTTGAGAATTAAAAATACAAGCCACTCTGGGAGGATGAGGCAGGAGGATCACAGCTTCCAGCCAGCCTGACTAACTTTGCAAGACTGTGTGTCGAAATAAAAACTAAAAGAAAAAAAGACAGAAAAGGTCTAGAGATGCAGCTCAGTCCGAAGGCCCTGGGTTCAATCCCAGTACAGAGGAAGGGGGAAAGCCAGAGGTAGCTTTCTTTATCAATCAGAAATATATCCAGGCCAGGGGTTAGCTCAGTGGCACAGCATCTGCCTGGAAGCACAAGGCCCCGAGTTTGATACCTGATAATGGGGAGGCTGTGCATTTGGGGAACAGGAGAAATGTGGAAAATCTCTGTACCTTCTCTTCAATTTTGCTGTGAGCCTAAAGCTGCACTGAAATATAGCCTGTTAGTTTTTTGTTTGTTTGTTTGTTTTTGTTTTGAGGCAAGGTCTTGTTATATAGCCCAAACTGGCCTTGAACTCGTGGAGATCCTGCTGCTTCAGCCTCTGGAGTACTAAGATTATAGGTGTGTGCCAATATGCCTGGCTCATGTTAGAACATTTTTTGCAATCAAGTACATGAATGATTTTGTTAGAAATACAAGTTAATTTTACACATAGAAGAAAGGTACTTTGTCCAAACAACTTCTTTTGTATTTCAATTTTTATAATGGAATTTAGATGCAATTACAAGTAGAGAATATTAGAAGCTTATTCTGAGGAGACAAGAAACAAGTGGTAAGCTGTAACCTAGGCCAGGGAGTGCATGGGGTGCGTGGGTGTGCAAGAGTATGCATGAACTCTAGGCCCGCTGTCCAAGGCCAACATTGTCAGCACCTCCCCCACCACAGCCTTGACCGTGTTAGCCCTGTCCAGCCAAGCAGTCCTCCTAAGGGCCCTGAGTCCACACTAAGGTCGAAGCGTCACAGGGGCTGTGTGGCCCCAGCACCAGTCTGTCGGACCCCTCGGCATCATGGCAGCGCCTGGCACAGACGGCTGTAGTCCACTCCGTTATCTCCCGCACCGGGAATGCCAAGTTGCCACCGGCTGTCATTTGGGCGTTGCCAAAAGGGACAGATCATCCTGTTCCTGCTCGCGCTTGCGTCTGTGTAGGGGAGGCCAGCGTGGGCGATCCAGGAACACAGCTGCGCTGTGCGGCCAGTGGGTGTCCCTGAACCCCCAGGCTGCAGATTGTGTATGCATGGGGGTAGGGTGAGGAGGGGCTCTCGGTGATCACAGGACCCTGTGAAAACACAGCACATCATCCTTTCTCACTATGAAATATCCAAGTGATTGTTTGCAAAAATGGATCTTGAATTTGAGGCAGTTGGCACGCGGGCATTAGGGCTTGCAGGGTTTCCAGTCAGAGCAGGGCTTGAGTCTTGGCTGGGACAGCCAAAGCCTCCATCTCCTCTTGGTACAGAGAGACTAGTTACCCCAACAGGGTCCGAGTGGTGGCAAGCACCCCGGAATAGCACAATGACATTTTTTAAACTCAAGGTTAAATTTCTACATAAAAAATAAATTAAGGGGCCCTCAGAGCTGGCCCAGGGCAGAAATCCCCAGGAGCTGCTGGGAGGCCAGAAAACCCCGGAGAGGCTTTTATAAACAAGACAGAAGATGGAGCTGGGGCCACAGCTTGGGGATGCTAAAGGAACACCATCCTCAGGACGGGAGTTGATGGCCAGCTGGAGTGGACGGAGCAGGGCTGGCAGCCACTACACCTGCCAAGCTCTGCCCCAGGCCTCACTTTCTGGTGTAGTGGGCATCAGGAGCAGGCCAGCAGCAGGTCTGAGAGTACAGGGGCCTGCAGGGAACTGTAGGAAGGCCAGGTGGGGTGGGGCACAGAGCCTGGCATCTTGTGAAGAAACCAGAAGGGACAGGCTGAGGACTGGAAAGGACTACTGGACAGCCAGTGGGTGGTCACACCTCTCTGCTCCTCAGTCCCATGTGAGGGTGGTGGGATGAATGCTGAGGAGTCCTCTGAGTGGACGCTCAGCCAGTTTTAGCAGTGTCCCCTCCTCCAGGGCCTCTCCCAGCCTGCCCTCATTTTCCCACTCACTGGTCATCCACTTCCTGCTGACCACCCCAGAACCTTCGGGAAATCCACATGTGCATTCCAAGGACCAGACCCAAAAGGTCTAGCAGTGGTCCCGACCGTGCTGGCTACTCTGGGCTGACCAGCCAAGCACTTTCGATGTGCCAGGTCGTGTGCTAAGCCCTGGATGCAGCATCCCTGCCTTCCTGGGATTGACACTGCAGCAAACAGAAATGAAAGGCAATAATCAATAAGTGTAATAAATATGCTAATGGAATGCTCTGCCAGAAAGCATTAAGTGTTATGGAAAAAAGAAGTAGAGAATCTGCCTGCACCCTGCAATCTTTAAGGGGTACTCATGCGCCCCAGCATCCCATGGTCGCTCTCAGCCCTCATGTGCTGCCAGATGGATGAGGGGTGACTATCTATCGAGGGTTGGGGAAGTTCCCACCCCTGGGAACTTGTTAGAAGAAATGCAGATCTCAGGCCTGGGACTTGAGGATCAAAACCTATTGCGGGGAAGGGGGGGACCTAGCTTCCTGATGCTTCTCATGCTGAGGACTGAGAGGCACTGGCTTGGAGAGGAGGAGACGTCATCTGCTACAAAGGGCTTGGAGACGGGAGTGTGCACGTGTGTGTGTGCACGCACATGTGTATAGTTCAGCCTGCTGCAATCAAGTACCGTAAGCTGAGTGGCTTAGCAACATCAGGAATTTATTTCTCACAGTTCTAGAGTCCTGAAACTCTAAGATCAAAATGTCAACAAATTCAGTATTTGAAAAAAAATAAAAACATTTGGTATCTGGCGAGAGGTGGCTTTCCAGTTCATAGCATCTTTTTACCATGTCTTTTTCTTTTGACAGCAGTGACATGCGGTCTTTCTGGCCTCTGTGCAGGGCAGGAATCCCAGCTCTGGGATCTGATGATCTCACCACCTCCCAGGGTCCCACCTCAGGTACCATCACTGTGTGGGGCAGAATTTCAACAGGAGAATTTGGGAGGGTGAACATTCAGTCGGTAGAGCAGAGTGATGTGAGATATATTCTGTTAGGTTTTTGGTGCAGCTGAGAGACAAAGAGGGAGAGAAATTGCAGGCAACTCGGGTTGCAGAAGAGCATGAGATCCCTCAGTGGAGATAAAGCTGGGGAGCGGCTTTTACAGGACTG